TGGGGCGAGGTGTGATGTTTGGAGTAACACTACGGAAGGAAGACTCACCTGCCACCGAGGTTTCTATGCAATTCCTACAGATAAGTAACCGTAGTCTACGACAGTAAAGGAAATTCGTCGCTGCCTTCACAGCTTTCTACATAACATCTGCTCTAAACATGGAACATGTCGCAAAAAATGGGGCGAGGTGTGATGTTTGGGGCCACACTACGAGAATGAATGTCATATTCGTAATCAGGGCATCGAATTACCCCAATAGGCAAAGTTTCGACGAAAAATGAAACTTTGAGATTTTGGGCAGTAATAGTGGAATAATGATGCCCAATCGGCAATAGGGGAAGGCTGAAAACGGTGAAAAACCAAAGTTTCAACTGGGGAGTAATGCATATCATTCGATAGCATTTTTCACGGGGAATCCAATGGGGCACATCTCAGGTCTGCGAGTTCATCTGGAAATGCAAAAAATCTGATTTTCATTTTAGGGCATGACGGAGAGTGATGTTTGGGGCCACACCACGGACGGAGCGCTTACCCGTGACCAAATATTCTACATCAATCCTACAGAGAAGTAACTGGAGTCTACGTCAGTGGAGAGATTCCTGGCTATCTTCTCAGGTTTCCGCAAATCATCTCCTCTAAATGTGGGGAATGTCACATAATAGGTCTACTACTACTGCTGGAAACTGTTCGAAGATTCTCATTTGGAGTGGAAGAATGGGTTGATCAGCGCACGGTTAGCCAATTAGCACTCTAAAACGAATTAAAGATCGTGAAATTCGAAAAAAAAACATTCACTCAAGTCTCACCATATGGTGGACCGGTTGGGTACGTGGCGTATTCTGAGGGTGTTGAGATCCATGTTTCTGTGGGATGATCAGGCTGCATAGGAGGACTTATATGCGCATCACATACAAAGTATATTCATTACTTCTCGGGATGGAGGTCGAGTGCATGGCGCAATCCTAGATGGAGCTCTTTCAGAAATTGAATTTAACCATCTTGTAGATCTCGAGCAGAGCTATCAGATGGTATAAACTGCAGGTCGAGCGAACCATTTTTTAAAGAGTTATGGCGAGCCGACGGTTTGCGACGGTTTCCGACCGTCGCAAACCGTCGATTGAACAAAAATTAGTAGCGGTATTGTATGCTCCGAAGGCTGACTCGTATGAGCACAAAAATTTCTCGTTGGCACCACTTTCCTCCTCTTTAAAAAAGGTTTGAAAAAAGAGCTTGAAGTTTCAGTCTCCTGCTCCAGACCTCTACCTTGACCCTAAAGTTGCCCTTTTATGAAAATGGACCTTGTGGAAACCGAAATAGGCGACCTGTCCTGACTATTCAAATTTTTCTTTACATGCACATAAAAGATCTAGTCGAATCAGATTAATTTCAATATGTTCAGGAGGCAATCCTTCTGCGCTGAACTAGTATATCGGTGTTACATGGGTTGAAGGTAAAGCCTGAATAAAAAAAAAATTCATTCAATTAGAAATTGTGAAAAATGATCAAATTTCGAAAAAAAAATTCAAAAACAACCGTAAAAAACTTACAAATATACTATCGTCCACACTCCTAATTTTTTTTCTTTCCAAAATTAGCTTTCTCTCTGGCAAAAGTTCCCTGTCCCTTCCATATTGTCTCGACGACGCTCGGGATATACAACTGAAGTTGACCTCCATTAAAGACGCACCATTCAGTCGAGAGCGCTCTTGCACTGTTGAGATACCAAAGATTTCGATCAGTGTATTGTTATAGGAATGGAATTTAGTTTGGTCATGATGCCATACGTGTGGAACACGACACTTTCCAGAACCTACCTGTATATGTCAAACGTTCACCACTTTCCGCGATCTATTACTCCATCACTTGCCGAATTCTATGCTTTGTTCGTTGAGCGTACATGCGGACTTGTAGATGGCGACAGCGCATGTTCCTGGGGTAGTCTTCACGGAAAAATGGCCAAATGCGTACAGGCGGCTATGAATGGATGCTATCTTGTTCTGCGCAACGGTATGAGTCGTCTGAAATCTGTTAGAAGGGAAGGCATAGAAAGTTTCTCGTAGTATTAGAAAGTTTGAGAGGTTTTGGATGAGAAGTAACCGATTCAGAGTACGAAATCCTTGGAGAGTGCAAATTTTAACGGATTCCAGAACCATAGCTTTCTTCAAATGCAACTCGTGAAAAGTCAATGAAGTGCTTAAAAGGCAATCCCGGGATTGGCCGCACTAACAGAAGGGATACCACTAGAGCAATTGCAAGGTCTGTAATTACTTACCACACCAGCTTCGGTTGAGGCGCTATTCCTTACGAGCCGGCAACCATCGACCCAATTTCCAACGCTCCCCACCCACCGCGAGAGGTGGTGAGATCAGCGTGCATTGATGTAGAGATCAGCGTGCTCTCTCAAACGACGTGCTCTCTCGCGTATTTTTGTCTTCTTTGACCGCCCTTTCTCGACATCGTACCACATCCGACCCTGTTAAAGGGTAAGACCTTAGTTTCAGCGTTCGCAAAGATTTCTCTTGCTTTCCTTCCCACTTTCAGGTCGTTCCGCAGCTAAGGTATCACTACAGAGCGCTGATAGCACTAGTTCAATCCCGGAGTTTGCCTTTAACCCTATTCGCTTACGTACAAACATTAGATAATACAGCTAACAAAGAATGGGCCCGTATGAGGTTCTGTCCTCGTACTGTCGACGGTTCTCCCGACTCTTCAGCTTGCTTTCTTTTGTCACAGAAACTTTCTGTACAAATATAGAAGTGGAGCAGTAGAATTCCACAAACTTTGTGCTTCTATAAATTTAAAAAAAACTTATCTATAGTCGTATTCTTAAAAAATGTGTAGTGCCAAAATTTCAACTCGAAGGCAAATGTCGGGCTCAGCCTCACTGGTCCCTCCCGGGATTGCGGTGTTAGGTCTGCAACTGCGAAGGTCGCCATGACCTAGAACCTCGCCTACGACTTCAATCCCACCGACGACTGGTCGAACTATGCCCGCCCACCGTTCCTGTATCGTATCCGTCGATAAGGTGTGCTCTCTCGACTCGGGAATGTTCCCTTCCGCAATCACTGCATCTGAAATCACTTGGTCTACCACGCCTACTCCACAGGCGGATCACCAATGACTTGACACTCGCTTTTAACATACTGAGAAAAGAAACGAAGCTCAATCCGAGTAAGTACTGGGTGTTTCGTCCTAGTAGAAGTAGAACAGGGGGCTTCAACCTGCACAACACAAGAATATCAAAGGTGCACCATAGTCTTTTGTTCAACAGCTTCTTCTATCGTACAGCAAGATGGCTTGGCCAGCTTCCGCCTGAAGTGCTCCGATCACCTACTGGTAAGATTTTCAGACAGAAGTTGAAGAATATCAACCTCATTGGTATGTTCACTACTAACTGTTGATTCAATTACGTTGCAAAGCCTAAACTACCTTCACATTCAGGTCTTGCCTAACTCGGGGAAACTATCGATCCTGGTGAAGTTGGTTGTCTGAGAGATTATGACTTCTCTGCACAGTTTTTCTCTCGTACATAGTTATCGAAACTCGATGGAAAGATTTAGAAGATGATGAGAAATTCATAGTGTGATGTTTCATACAAGCCATAAGAATATCTTGTCTTGCTTATCCCTATTATGTATCAAAGCTAGCTGGTAAATCGT